TTTATATCCACTGCCGCCAGTGACGTTCTACGACTACAGGGCGTATACGCTACTTAATGGCTTGTAGGCGTGAAAATGAATGCTCTTCAAATATATACCTATGTATGTAAATATGTGTACACACATGTGTGCGCACTAGACTGTACCAACTTACAGGCAAAAAAAAGATCGATGTACACTTTCGAGCATATTTGTAAGGCAATTTTGAAAAAAAAAATCTTATTTTCTGAATATACATACATAGATCTACTGGAATAGTCGAAACACTTTTTTAGCAAAAGTTTAATGACAGCATAAATTTAGTGACATTAGGTTGGTACGTAGCGATCCCTTATGTTTGTCCAAAAAATTCGAAATACTTCCTTTTCTAAGGTTTAAGGATTTTTGGAGAGCTTTAATTTACTAATATTAGGGTGGTACGTCAGGGTGATATGAACTGAGGTCTACTAGGTATCTTAGAACGAGCAATTCCATCCGCTAGACGAAAACATCGCTATATCATACTTTAAGATCCGATCGTGAATGCCGAAGATAGGACGAAATATATAAAAAGGCGACGCCTTATGTTCGGCTAAAAAATTTTAACTGCATTCTAAACGAAATACTTCCTCAGCAAAAGTTTATTAAATTGGGAAATTCTGGCTAAGATATTAAAAAATCGTTCGTAAGACAAATGAAAGACAGAAAGCAAGATAGTTCGAAAGACTTTTATTGTTCCAGCACAAAAGTCCTAGAAAAACGCTCTCTCATTCACCACTCGTAGTGAAATGCTATTCTGAGAGAAGTATCATTTAGCTCCAACATTCGCAATGGCCGAATGGTGAAAGCACAGGCGTGCCAATCGAGACGTCCGAGTTCGAGTCCTGCAGCAGTGGAACTTTTTTCCTTTCCTTTTATTTTAACTATTTACGTTTTTTTCCTTTTTTACTTTCACGTTTCAGATTTTTTATTTTTAAGGAGGATATACATATATATTTTTTAAATTAATTTAATTTTTAGATACTTTTTTATGTTTTTTTTTTTAATTTCATTTTCTTTAATGGTTTGATTGTTATGGGTTTAAAAATAATACTTTTTATTTTCATTTAATTTTGGGATACTTAATTAAATTTTTTTTTTAACTATTATTTTTTTTTTTATAATTTTTTAGCTAAATTTTCTTATAGTTTTTTGATTTTATTGGGTCAAAGAGATTTTTTTTAGTTTCATTTATTTTTAGAAATTTATTTTTCCATTTTTAAATTTAATTTGTTATTTTTTTGTTAATTTCATTTTCTTTTAATTTTTAGAACATATTGTGTAAAAAAGAAAAAATATATGTATGTTTTTTATTTCAATTAATTTACAAGATCTTATTCAATATTTTAAATTGTTTTTTGCCTTTTTTAAATAAAAATATTTTTAAACTTTTTTAATTTTTAAGCACTGTTTCCTTCGTTTTTGGTATAGTTTTTCTAATCAAATATTCTTTTACCTTTTAATTTTTGTTGGTTTAAAAAGATTAATTTAATAAGCTGAAAGAATGTTGCCACAATTTCCCTGCTAATTAAATGAAATTAGGGTGGCACGTTAGTGTCATATGAACTGAGATCTGGCGTGTAAATACTAGAACTGAGTACTTGAGATCAAGTAACTTTGGAACAAAAAAAAATTATCCTCGAGACAATCAGGGGATTTTTTTCGTAATTGCCTCAAAAAAATACTTTGGATTTTTTTTCTAGTACGGTCTAGTGCACATCCATGCATGTGCGGCTATACTTATGTATGTTATATATGGATGTATGTGTACATACGTGTACTCATAAAATATGCGCTTAATTACAAGCCCAGCCGTGTTAGTTATTAATGAGGTTTGAAAAGGTTTATCATTTGACTTTTTTCAAGCGCTCAATACAGATTTTGCCATATTTCATTTTCCACTCGTCACTCTTCGTTCTTCCTTTTTCTCTCTGCCCACTTCACATTTTACATTTCACTTTTCAAAAGCTTCAGTCAGGCACTCACGCTGGCGGCAGGCCATGTTTTACGTAGCGTTAATTTATTTTCACCGCATAGTTAGTAACATAGTTTGCTCACACTCTTGTGGTGCTCAAACGAGTTGCCGCTTCATTGGCAGTACACACTTCAGCGTATGTATTTCGTATTTTGTTGCCCTCCCTACGTCCACCTCCAACCATAATGCGTTAGATACGTGTACTTGTTTACCCTCATTTCTGAGTTTTTATTACTTCAAGTGGCTAAACCGTATTTGCTTAAAACAGCTGCACTTTTCAACTTGTATGTATCAGCACACATTTCCCTCCACCCTCTTAATTCAATGAATTATCATTCATATGTATCGGAGTATATGCGCCATCGGGCAAATCACCTTTTTCGCCAGTTAACGTTGTACACTATTTTGCTGCTATTTCGCGGGTTACACGCAAATTTAATTAGAAGCTCAGTCAATGCAAATAACTAGTTATGTCGCAAACTTACTTGTAAATTGAAAAAAGTTTCCAAAGCTGCAAGAGTGTGTGGACGGCTTGAGGGTAACTTTCGTGCAGACATCGTTATATAATTAATTTAAAAGTTGTTCGTCTATAAAATGCTTGAAAGCTTAGAGGCTGCTTATGTAATGGGCTAGAAATTAGTTAATTGAATAGAACAAGATTTCTCTATGTATTGAAATTAATATGGAAAAGGTGTGTATAAAGATATGTTAAACCAAAAATTTGTTTTCACCCATGACTATGATAAAAGTAGCCAAATTGCAGTGAAATAGGCACTTCAGTACTGTAAGCAAAACACCAGGCTTCATAAGATGCTCAAAAGGGTCGGCGCTTTTCGCCGTGTGTGAGTTTTATTTATTAATTAAGATTTCCCTCGCATAAGTTTACCTCGTTTTATGATAGAAAATTAGGTTGTCGGTCTCACAGCCTTGAACTTTTACATAGAAATTGGCTTACATCTAGGTAAGGGCTGGTGACACATTTAGGACTTAGCAAAAACAAAAAAAAATACTGGCTACTAGATTTTCTTGCAAAATCATTACATGCGAGTCACAGCTTTCGAAGTGACCACATTCGCAATGTAAAGTTGAATAAAAAAGTCTAAAAAACCAACAGAACCAAATCAACAATGCTTAGAATTTTTGTCCGTTTGTTTGTCTGTTTGTATGTTTGTCACTCGAAAACTGATGCATGATGTCTGACTTAAAATATGGAAAAAATATAAAAAATCTGGGAGCTGCCACCTATTTGAAAATCTAAGTTTAAGCAAATTGGTTGATAACGTAAATATTGCAATATAGTATCAAACTGAAGAGGTTTAGGTTCTCAAGTGTCAAGTTTTGTTAAAATTCCTTAAATATTAAGTTGATGGCCTCCAAACTACGGAACAAGCAAGAGTGCTATAAGTCGTAGGGGATCTGCATAACTTGCTACCATACGGAGGTTGTAACTGATGGTTACCATTGACCACAGCGTCCACCCAAACATTTTTTGATTGAAAATATTTTGTGTTATTAAAGTCCTCTTGGTCTTCCTCTCTCAGTGAGTAAATTATCGAATAGCTAAAGAACAAAATACCACTCAGATATGAAAAATGACACTGAAGATGGTAGAACGCCGAAGATACCAGTCTCCAAACTGATATTGACATGGGATGACGTCTGACGCCGTGGGCAGGCCATGACATGAGGACAGAATTCTAAGGAACTTTCTCTCGAAGAACAATTTGGGAACTAAAGTCTGAGGAACTTTCTGACAGAGAATGAAACGGAAAAAAATCGTCTCTGAACTATTCGAGAAGGACAAAATTTTTGTCATAGCATTCCATTAGCTTGCAAAGTTTAAATCTTAAAATTAATCAAATAAGTGTACATATAAGTCAACGAACTTAATACACGACCTTTTCTTGAATAGAAAATTGAAACATTGTTCCAAAAAGGACCACTCACCCTAATGATTAACGATGTGAAAGTTGAAATAATCCAGCTTTCCTCTGGCTTAGAATTACCAATCGTGGTTCTCATTGAAACGATTTTTCATCCCAACACGCAGACCCTTCTCATTTTTAACGCTAGTTTCTCAAAACTATTGTACTCGTTTTGTTCTCCAGCAATACTGTCTCCAGACTTTGGTTCGTATTTAATTCTTCCTGAAAACGTTTTCTATAATTTCGGTCTTATTTTGTTCTCTTTGGAAAGGTTCCCGAAAACTTCGTTCTAATTTTGTACTTTTAAGAACATTTTCCGAGATATTTGTTCGCATTTTGTTCTTTACAGAAACGTTCCCAGTTTTTTTTTTCTCATTTTTCCCCCTGAAAACTGACTGCTATACTTTTGTCCCAGTTTTTTTTTTTTGTGGGAACGTTTTTGACACTAAATTTTGTTCTCAGGCAGAACTAAACCAGAATTGGAACGCGTTTTCGATTCTAAACTTGAGGCCGGCCTATGAAGGAATGTTAACAGTACAGAAATTATCGAATATATTTTCTAGCTGTTGCCATTCTCAATCACCACCGGTGGTAATGAGGAAGCAGTAAAATGCTTTAGCAGCTGAGACTGCTTAATTTTTTCTGGTGGCTGTCGTTGTCGAGTTACTAAAGGTGCGCACTACCATTCGGTAGGTCCAGGGTTTGATGTCTAGTCCGCGCAACATTCAAAAAAGTTTTTTTTTTTTAAATAATGAATGAATGAATTCCTGCTTGGACAACACTTCTCATAAAATTCCTGCTGGCTGCTTTCAAAAATTTAGATATTTTTTAGTATAGTTTGTCAGTCAGTTGTTTATTTAAAAATTCCCAAAACATTTCAATATTTTATTCACTTCCCTGCCAACCTGTCAGATTTTTTTTTATTATTGTTTTCTTTAATATAAATTTTATTCAAAAGATATTTGAATTCCAGCTAAAACAAACAAACAAAAATTTTAATCAATTTTCAATTAAAATTCTGTTAAATATTTGGCCTCTTTTGGAAAAAAGTGAAATTTTCTTGTACCAAACGCATTTTGCAGTAAACCAATCAGCATTAATTCATTTAGAAAATCAGCCACACGCAGCGCGCGTCATCTGCAGAATGTTCCATCCAGTATTACTCAGAGTTTAGAGTGCATCAATTTGGTTAAGAGCAGAATGCGCACATCGAACACCCGTGAACGCCGGCATGAGTATATGGCACATCGGCTGCGCGTGCAAAATGCCAAGAGTGTGGTGAACAGCCAACCACCAAGCCGTGTTGTGAATCAGCCACGACGCGAAATGAGTTTTACCGAGATGATGAACTCAGTGCGCACAGCCATTCAATGCAGCAGCAACAAGCGCACCTTCACCAATGCGCCGGCCTCGACGACACCATCGGCCACGGGCACCATCTGGACTGTGGCCACAACTGCCTCCAACACATCACCACGACGGCAAGCCAAATCGCACATCAAGTCAACGAATAGCAATGCGCTGACCAACGTAAGCCACGACAAATCGGCGATGCTGCTCTACGACTACAACTCGTGTGGATTGATTGGTTGCTGTGGCACGTGTGGTGGCGCTGGCGATCGACGGCACTGCATGGTCACCTGCGCGCATATGCACGAAAAGTTAAAACGCAAGCTGAGCGCCAATAAGGGTGACGGCGATAAATGCCGAGTTTCGTGTAGCAGCATGCCAACATTTCACGCCAATGTGGGCTTTAATAGCAATATCGGATTTGCTCCTTCCATCAACACAAACAATGTTGAGCCCGCGCCGCGAAATAGTTCAGAAAATAACAAAAAAGTCGCGCCGCAGCCAAATACTGCTGAGCAACGCGCTGCCTATCAGCATGCACGTCTCTCAATGCCCTTGCGCTCATTCTGGCACCGCATCAAACGCAAAGAGTGGAATGATGACACGCGTATATCTACGCCAAAACCCAAGCGCTGCTCTTCGGAAACATCAAAGAACCAAAGCAAGCGCAGTGCGCGGCATTTGGGTTTGCCTGAAGAACCGCAAGATAACGGCAGCAGTCCAGCATATAAACGTGCTTCCAGCGCCATGCAAGACGATGGCTCACGTAGAGGTATCCCACCGCATGTGCTGAAGCATTATCAGGCTATTACTGTCAGCACCGACGAGTCAATGCTGCGTCGTCTACTGCGCCCGCGCGTCTTTTTCGATCTGGAGGTGAAAGGCATAAGGCCGCTCGGTCGAATCGTTATACAGCTCTTTACGGAGGCCTGCCCCGAGGTGGTGCTGGAATTCGTGCGCATGTGCACTATGGAGGGTGGTGAGCGCATGCGCTTTACGCGTCTATTTCCAATGCTGTGGCTGGAGGGTGAACTGGCGCTGACCGACAAAAAGACGCTAACGGCGCACAACATCGAGCATGACATGAATGTGCTGGATCATGGCAGTGGAGCGGGTGTGCTTTCGTTTCCCAGCCGATATGTACG